GGGGTGAAGGAAGCGTGGCCGCAGAGGGTCCCGGGACATCGCATGGGCCTACAAGCCGGTGCTGGACGGACGCGGCAGCACAGACTGGACACGAGGGCCCCGCGGGAGCATTGTGCAGGTGGTTGGATGCGTTTGCGGGACGCGGGAGAGGGGAGGGGCGGAGGACGGGAACAAGCATCGCAGGCAACCGCTTGCCACCTCACCTTGGACGACACGCTGTCCACGAGCCGGCCTATGGGCCCAGTCCCCGGCCCCGACCATGGGCAAGGCTTGGACTTGGCAACATGACGGCCGCCAGCTGTCCCCTCTCCCCCCTCTCCGTCAGCCCCGTTGCTCAAATCGGTGGCACGCGCACGTACGCAGCTACCGCCACCGCTGGGCCAGCACGACGGGGGCATCGGCTGCGGCCCCATCGTGGCCTCGGCCCCAGCGCCGCCCCTGGCGCCAGCCGCCGCCACCATTCCGCGTGGGCGCCACGCCGCAGTCCTTGCACTTCCTGCGCGGTGGACGCACAGCCCAGCTGTCTCTGCCGCCACGGCAGCCAGCAGTAGCCAGCTGCGGCCTCGTACGGCACGGGGCGCAGGGCGTTGCAACTGGTAGACAGGGGCGATGACGGAGATGGAGCGCTCGCACGGCGCAATGCAATGCCCGCCGTTGAGCGGCGTGATATTCTCTGCTGCTTCGGCGGGAAGCAGAACCCCGAAAGTGTCTCGAATTGTCGATCACCGCGTGCTTCGCAGGTCACGCTGAAGCTTGGATGCCGAACACAAAAGAGATCGGATCCTGTAAAAGACAGTCGTTGTTGGTGACGAAGTAAGTTTTGTCTGTTCTGATGTTTGATACATGCCGCATCTACTGTACGTCCAGCAACAGCCCATTGATGAGGCTTCTGAGACGAGCAGCAAAAGTCGGACTGCAAGTGCGCACAATCTACGACGTGACAAGAAGTATTCGTTGCCATCACAGGGCTAGCCACGCGCGTTGAGGTCCTGGGTCTCACCTGACACACCGCCGGGCAATGGGGCGGCGGGCGACTTGCCCTAGTACCGACTCTGTTCTCTGGGCGATTCTGCTTCTCCCAGACAAGGCGCACGGGGACCATGAAGGCCGCGGCATGCACCGTTTTGCTTCATACCAGGAGTGGTATTCAAAAGCTGCCTACTTCCATGGTTGTCAGTGTGCTTATGATAGTGTCGGCCATGGCGGTTGGGCATTCAGGAAAAGAAAGAGGCACCATCTAAAACAGCGCAATGCGACGCAATATGAAGCACAGCAAAGCACATCAAACCCAAATGAAAGCACAGCAAACCCCAACAAACCCCAGCAAACCAGAGCGAAGCAAAGCGAAGTGAAGATGCAGTTAATCCGACACGCACACTCTGAGACAAAACATGCTTTCCGTGAACAAGAGGGACCAATGGTTGGTGCGCGCAGCACTTCGAGCTATTGAAAGCCACGTAGCATAGCAAGTGGCAGATTTGCAGACGTGATTGCCACCTCTCAAGTTTGATATCGTATGGATATTCCTGTGCATGCATGCGCACATGCGTGCGTGCGTGCGTGTGTGCTTGAGTGCTTCGTTGAGTGCGTGCGTGCGTGCTTGATTGCTTGTGTGCGTGTGTACATCTACTTGCACACGTCTGTGTGTGGACGCGAGGGTTTTGAATTACAGTCCATATGCATGCACGAAAGCCTGTGAACAAAAGCCGCGTGATCAAGCAGCCCTGTACTGCTGAAGCGCGATGAACGGGTGAACCTGCTCCCAGCTTATTGTATGTGCATATGAAGTTTGTGTTCCAGGTTTCAACATATTACCAGGTATGTGCGCGTGTGGGAGTGTGAGAAAGCAAGCACGAGCAGAACCTGCAGCCCTCGCCAGGCCGCTGGGCGGCTAATCGGGGGCGATTGCCTCACAAACACTCTGTGTAGACGACGAAGTCGGCTGTTGCCTACAATGAATATTGCGTTTAGCCGTGGCGCTGTAAACTCAAAAAAATGTTGATGTGACACTTACAACTGCTTCAGGGATCAGAAACAGTGTGATGGTGACAGGCCAATGCGCACTGGTAATCAGGAACCTGGGTGCTAAGGGGGCCTTTGAGGCAGGCATGCAAAAGACTTGAATGCAACAAGAGAAATCACCGAAGTCGCATGCATGCATGCGTTGAGGAGCACGCCGTTACCCTGTGGTGACTGGAGGAGCCCCCTCCGTAGACACCCACACACGGCAAATGTAGCGGTGTGCACAACGCGAGCGCAACAATCAGTGCAGCAGAGTGCAACCGAGTGGTTAAGATAAGGCAGCCGGCGGTTGCTGTGTGAATGTGCACGCAGTGCACCGCTACCTGGATGGGAAGCTGGTTGCTCAACCAGCAACTACCAGCGGTCCGCAGCGTCAAGTGCACGGCCACGAACAATCCATTTCTCATTTGTATCCTGATCCGTTCATCGGCACTTCAAGCGCGCAACAGAACAGCCCGAGGATGCAACGCCCACTCGCAATCGTGTGCCTGATGGCCGTGTGCCTGGCCGGTGAGAGCTCTTTTTTCCTGACTGTAGCTTGCGTGTGTTTCTAAGAAAGGGGGTTGGCCATCAGCGATGGTGTCACCCGCGCGCAGCCTGCGGGCTGTTGCCCGAAGCCACCTGCGGGGCAACAGCAAGGTCCGCTCCAGCTGAAAGGTCGCAATATCACCACTTTTTCGAGCCCCAAACCTCTTGTATGCACGGAGAGCGGACGGACAGTGTAGGCCAAGGGCAGCCAGCATGCAGGTGAAGGCGCACGGCGTCACAGCATCGCGCCACCCCGTGCGCCCCTCGCCGGAACTGCCGTCAGCGCCCCCCATGCCCGCCCTATTCCTCAGGCACCGCCCAGGCTCAGAGCTACCCCAGTTTTGTGGCGGCTCTCAACCAGCCCACCTTCAGTCGTCTCAACGCGGTAGTAAGCACCCTGGGCTTAACCCAGACGTTCTCCAACCCCGCCCTGAAGGTCACCGTGTTTGTCCCGACCAACACGGTGAGACCCTGCGAGACTCTGCGCCACTCATCCAGATGCGCTTGTGGCCGCTGCTTCCCAGAAAATTGGCCGACGCAAGGGACCGTGCCCGCTTGCAGGCCAAGGCCCCTGTCAGCCAGGGGCTCGGGACTGTCCTGTTGGGCATCTTGCCCCCATACCCTCTCTCATCCGTGCTGCCGCCACCCCGCAACCTCCAGGGATTCAGTGCGGCTGAGAAGGCCACGGGCATTTCCTTTGCCACCCTGCAGAGCCAGAAGAGCCTGTTGCAGCAGATTGTGTACTACCACATCGTCAAACAGGTTGGTGGCACGTTGTTGCGTTGACCAGGGGGATAGGGTGGATTGCGGCTCTCTCTTGCATGGCGTCCGCCTCCCGCCAGAGCTGCTGATGAAAACATCGCGGAGTCGCGAAGCGCGTCATGTCTCACACATCTGTGTGTCGACGTGGTCATGAGATGACAAAATCTCTGGCGCAACCCTGTTCAGGTGCTGCGCGCCGCGCAGGGATCCCAGCCTTGTGAAGTTCTTAGTGCTCCCCCCCCCTCCCCCCCGGGCTCACATACTTGCTCACCACACACCCCGCGCTGGTTTCCAGGTCGTCAAGGCGCCCCTTCCTGCGGGCCCCCTCCCCACGTTTGTCACGGGCAAGGACCTCAAGGGGGCGGGCAACAAGGTTATTGGCATCGGCTCCTCGGCCAACATCGTGCAGCCCAACGTTCCTTGCGGCCAGGGCATCGCCCACGCCATCGACAACGTGCTGCTCTTCCTCTCACTCGGGGGCCGCTGAATGGACGCCTCGCAGTCGGGACACAGCGCGTTGTTCGCGGCTGGCGCTTGATGCGCCACATGGCGTGCTGGCCACGCTGCGTCCCCCGGTCTGGTGGGGTGTGTGTTGTGCAGCTGCCGTGTCGTCAGCGCGGCGCACCGACTGGAGAAGCCCGTGCGCACAGGCCATGCCCTGGCCGTGGCGGACGGCATCAGTGCAGGATGAACATGCATGCAAAGTTCGCAAGCCATGTGGCTTTCTGCGAGGGAATATCGATACGGCCACCAAGAGGCCACGGCGCGCTGGGGCGGGTGGTGCTTGCTGAGACGTTGCGGAAGGGGTTGCATCGGGGAGGAAGGGGCGATGCAAGCCAACATGACACATCTGCTTATGATCCACCTTTTGCAACCTTTGCGGCCCCTGGTGCTGCTTAGTCCGCTGCGGAGTGTTGGTTGCTCTGCTGTTGAACAAAGTAGACGCGACGCACGCGGTTGATGCTGCCGGTGGGTGGTGATGATACGTAGCGCCAGGCCACGCGAGGCCGCGGCAATCAAGGCACACCCATTTTTGGGTACAATATCACGCTTTGGGTAGGTTTCACGGAACTGCGAGGCGGCACAATGCACGCGCCTGGCAGGTGTGGCCGCGCTACAGGCCATTGCTGTCTTTTTGTGTTGCTCTGCATCTGCATATGAGAGAAAGTCCGCATACCGCACGAGGCAACAATCACCCCTTGGGGCCTGTTGTGAAGTTGTGCATGCTGCACGGGGACCAGGCCAGAGGGTGCAGCGGCCGCTCTGGCGGGTGGCTCTCCATGCAACGTCCCCACAGGCCAATGCCTCCCCATTTTTGCGCTGCACGGGGGATGCTGCACTTTGAGCGGCAAGGCTTCTCACCTCCACCAGTGCGCTCTCAACGATATTGCTATTACATGCGGGGTACATGTATTGCATAGGGTGTAAGCACCACCATGTTATTGCAATTGCCAGGCATGCCCTTGGGGGGGGGCAACTGCCATCCCGGGG